GGATCGGGCCAAAGAATAAGTATGCCTGGTTTGATAAAAATCGGTCAATATTTAGCGGGTCAAATGGACCCTGACTTTTGTGTGAACAATCACAAAATTTGTATTCTATAGCGTATATATTTACTCCTAAAGGACATTGACCCGAGAAGTTGATAGTATGTCCCAGAGGAGAGGTTGGCCTTTAAATTGATACCAATTATATTGGCTTATGTACTCTGATGTGGGAGTTACTCGTAAATATTTTCAGGAGCTTACGTATTCCTATATTATTTAGTAACCTATTGCCGCATTAGAGGTCGAAAATATAGCGTTGATCGCTTTGAAATTTTCCATGAGGATCCAGGTATGGTCAAGGACAACGTCTATAATTTTCGATGACGATAAGATAATAATATTGGGATGAAGTGGGCCGTAAACTCATTTTTTGGGGGTTTTTCGAGTCGATCTACAGGCCACAATTGAAAGCCGAACATCACAACACAACCCACGTTGAAGGGAATCTGGAAAAGTAATTAGAAGGGATGTATTGAATATTAGTAATATTTGTTGTTAGATTTTCGTATGGTCGGCCCTGTCCGACTATACTGCTCCGCTCACTGGTTTTATTATAGAATTTGTATTAAATGTGCGTACTTATTTCTATCAAATAATTAAATTACTGGCTTCAATTTGACGGGTTTCGTCCAATTTTTGTCATCACAACACGAACATATTTTAGCAGATACAAATAGCTTACATTACGATGATACATATATTGGTTTGGGGATGATATATCCCTTTTTCTCTTTGTTTTTATCCTTTCCCAATATTTATTATTGCAATTTTACTAATTTTATGGACGTTTTCTTTAAACAAAATAAACCTCTACAAACCTTGTACCGAAAAAAGGGTGGGGCAAAATCTTTGAAAACTTTGTTCATGGATTAATGGTTTATTGCCACGCATGTTTGTTAGTTGAATTAAAAAAAAAAAACGAAAATTCAAAATCATAAAAATTCATTCAAGGATATTATGGTAAACTATTAAAATCCATCATTTTGATATGTTAAGGGTAAATACGCTTGCAGCGAAATGCAAAAAGTGTCACATTTGTGGTTACATCGCGAAGAAAAGGTGTGTCGCCGTGACACATACACACTGCAATAATCATAGACGGATTGCTTTTAATGTATTATTATTACTATTATTGCAGTTATTATTGTTTTGTTTGAGCTGCTGTAATAAAAACCTGGTGCGGAGTGGCAACAAACTTTACATTTTCCGTTTAGTTTTATTACTTTGCAATTTTCTTTTGTTTTTTTTTTATCAAGGTTTTGTCCTTTTTTTTTGCCCCTTCTTTTTCTGTCACAAAACGTGCTAAAACAGCAGTTGTCTTTGCAATTGCGCGATTATGGGTATTGCCTTCTGGAAACCATAAAAAATTGTCATAATCCATGTTGTGACATTTTGTTGTCATTGCAGTCTTGCATTTTGTTTTTATTTCCGTTGGTTTCTTCTTCTTTTTTTTTTGGAGAAAAATAAAAAATAACGCAACATTCTGTGTTTTACTTATTTTGTCTTCGTGTGAAATTATGATAAATAATGTCAACACCCATAACCCATGTCTTTTATCCTGAGAATCTAGAAGGTACAATTTATTCCTGTAAGGAGTAGAAGAATTTGCCCATCCCTGTAAAGTCGAGGTAGAATAGTAATACAAAATATTCGTTACTGTAACGCAGTGTTATGCTTTCTCGTTAAAAATAAGACATTGGACAAAATAAGACAACCGTCAAGAAATTCCTGCAGCAATAAACAATAAAAATCATGGAAATATTAATTAAATTAGCTTTATTATTAGATAAGTCTGCTGTGGAGCTATTTGCAATTTGTCGGTCTGAGCTGAATGTAACATAGAACTGTGGGTTCGTCCATCAGCTTGATGGTGAAATTATGGTATGAAAATCGATATAGATTTAGGAGAAATTTACCTGCAAAGTAGGTCATTATTAAATCCAACTGAATAACCGAAATATATAAATGTTTAACCAGGTTAAAATTTTACATCGATTTATCCATATTCGTCTGTCTGTCCGTTTAAATCTCTATAGACTACGTAATATTTAAAACATACCTTGCATAACTATTGTCACTACTTCAAGGATGTTCAGTATTGAAATTGGGATATATCGGTCTACGTATTGGTGTGGGTGTATTTTGAAAAGTATTCCGATATCGAAATTGTTAAATTTTAAATTTGGGCTTTTTTCTTGATGGTTAATTTTTCCTTCAAAAAAATGTGGCAACCTAACCTATTTTAAATATGTCCAGGATCTCAACAACATTTTTAAACGAATTAAATATAATTTGATGTTTTATTTCCGATTTGGTGTGGCTCCGTGGAAGGCCCCAATTTTAAATATTTTGGTGATATCGGAAATATTTTTTTATCCCCAGCCTTTTGGCTAATGAGATCATATACACTTTGTGCGGCAAAAACTGTACCTCATCGAAATATCGGTTTTAGATCCCATGTGTTTTTGCATCAAACACGTTTCAGACAATTTGAAATCGATTTATAAATGTCTGTCTGGCTGCTGCGCATGATTATTATAATGACATATTAGAATCTGGGCCATTTTCGGTTAGATGATCGAATTAACCCCACCATTGTGGCCTTAATTTGGCATTCCGGGCTATTGGCAGAAACCTTTTTTATGCAGATCAATTTTTTCACATTGGTCTCCATTTTCGGTATTTTTTAGTGTTTATACCTATTTCCCTCTTAAGTGTCATTAATTTGGCGTAAATGGGAGGACAAAGTGGATTGTCGAAATAATGCCTACATATAATTTATATTCAGCATATTAAAGGTTCAGCTAATTTTTGTCTACGTAATTATTTGTAATTTATCGATTCATTTTCTGAGACGATACAAAATTTCCTGGCAGATATGCCAACTGATAAGGGTAAATACCGATTTTCTGTCTGTTGCGAATGTCTACCTCATGGTGGAGGGAATAACAAATTACGATGTTTGGTATTGCAAATGGGATATATCGGTCCATGTTTGTGTGTAGCCCCCATATAACGGTACCCCAAATATTTGGTCTTATGGGGATTTGAACCACGTTTTGCAACCGAATTGATTGAAATTTTGTTTTTGGGGTCCTCATGGTATAGCACATCTTAGTACTGAAAATTATTTATATTGATACAAGCTTCAGGGTAGCCCCCAGAAAACGGTACCTTAAAATATTCGGTATTTAGGGAATTGTGGAAAAGTTTTTCAACCGAATTGGCTGCAATTTAGTATTTTGGGTTCTTATTGTATAGCAAATGCACATACCAAAAATTATTAATACTTACTCAAATTTCAGGTTAGCCCCTATATAAACGTACCCCCAACATTAGGTGTTTACGGAATTTTAGACACATTTTTCAATAAAATTGACTGTTTTTTAAGAGTACTACAAAACAATTACAAAAATCTGACATTGACTCTGAAAATCAACGTCACCGCATATACCTTTTTCTTTGTTCCCGTTTTCATATTACGAAATGAAGTCATTTAACAAGGCATGGTTGTTTCATTATTCCCGGTAATTACCTATACAACATTATTCGCTATAATTACAATATAATATATATAAAATAAAAAAAAATATATCAATATTGTGTTTTCTGTGTAATACCTCCCTCATTAAAACATGTTTATTTTTAAAACAATGCAATTTATTTAAATACTGAATATTTTGCTGTGGTAAATAATATATGGTAGCAATTGCCGTAAAAATCACCTCAAACAAAGATGGCTGCAAAATATTATAAAGTTGGACATCATATAGTTGTTGCCATGCCTCGAGACAATTGCAATGTATTTTTACCATATGTATATTATAATTATACCTTGCTTTGATCTTATGCGGAAGTAAGAAATCCCATTGTTTAATTTATTACTTGTCCACAAAAGATAAATGACGAAGTTCCTTATTTTGTATAATTGTTGTTGATGTTTTTTTTTTTTCAAGGAAAAATCACATAATTTTTGGAATAAGGCCAGTGTATATGGAAGGGTAACTGCCCTCAATAATCTGAGGATAATATTAAGTTCTTATTGAGAAAATATAGGGTATTAAAATATGATTCTTAGATTTTTCTCTCTTTGTAAATAATTAAATTGTAAGTTCCTACTTTTATTTTTTCTTTTTTTTCTCTTTGTGTATTCTGATTTGTTTGTAATTATTTTGTGTCTCATATCACACATCGAAAATATAGAACACTAACCCCTGTCCTTATTGTTGGTCACTGAGTCAAACAATTTCCCTATGACCCAGTCAATGTCCCCCTCATATCAATATTAAATGAAAACAATTTAAATATTTTTTTTTGTTTATAAAATGTTGTTTTATTTTATTAATATTTAATTTTTTGTTTAATTGTATTACTTTTTTTTGTCATCATATTAAAACTAAAATTAATATTAATAATAATATAAACAAAAATTGATACAATTTTTGTTTGTTTAGGCGAAATAGTGGGGTTTTTTGTTTAAAACTAAAATAATGCTTATAAACTATATATTTTACATAATGCTTTAATTTTGGGGGTGGAATTCAAAAAAACTACAACATTTTCATTTAAAAATAATATTTGAATAGATTTTTGCCAATACAAAAAAATACAATAGAAAAAAATCAACGAAAATTCTTATCACAATCGCTTTGATGAGTTTTGGAAATTATTTTGTTTTGTTTTTTTTTGGGAATTTACAAAATAGAAAAAAATGAATTACCAAAATAAAACCTAACTAAAAGATATTCTTAAAATATTAGAAAAAAAGCTTTTTTATATTGAATTTCGTTGTTTTGAGCCGACGGCTTTTTTTGTAAGTTTGGAGACAAAAATTATTTTTAAATTTGTTTGTACTATGGCATCTTTGTTGGTAGGCTGGCTGGCAGGCTGGATCTTTGAATTTTCCCCCATTTGATTTGGTTTAGTTGAGATTTCTGGAGGCTGATTTATTTTTTATTGGAGTTGGATGATTTGTCTTGTTGTGTGGAACCACTGCTGGATGTTCGGCCAAGTATCGATGGTGTGGCTTGTAGATACTGTCTCAACACATCGTAGACCACCGAGGCCACATAACGCCAATGGGCCTCACGCATTGCCAAAATTTGTTGCTCTTGTTGACGAGCCTTACGCATTAGAGCGGCTTGATCGGGAATATAGAAAGCTACAGCCATTTTTGTTTGCTTTGGTTTTGTTGGTATTTTAATTAACAAGTTTTTTTTTGTTTTCTCTGAATTACACAATTTATTGAAATTTGTAAGTCTTTTAGCTTGGTTTTCACTTTGCTTCACAAATCACGTTAATTTCGTTTTTATTCTTTCGTTTTCCGATGAATCAGTATTTGTTTCTTTTGCTTGTACGGAAAATTACGCTTTTTGTGGTTTTATTTTTTTTTCATATAAAATTTTGTAAATGAAATGAATGTCTTTTTCGCTTGTTTGTTTGTTAGGAACGCACAACCTTTAGATTTGATGGTTGAATGGGAACTGATTTAATTGTACGACTCAGAGCGCCTTTTATACGTTACTTGCTCTTTGTGCTCACACAAACTCTCAAAATCCACAACAAATAGGGTTTTTACCGTAAACCGCATGTTCTCACTGCTCTGGTGTGGCACACAACAGAGAGCACTGGCAGTGCCCGAGAGCGAGAGAGAACGAGCACACGAATCATCGGAAGAGTGTATATCTGTGGTTTCGTGAAATACCGTTGTTTTCGAACAAGCGAACGAACGAACATGACCCGCCAAAAAATACGTTTGTTTACGATTCTTGGCAGGGGGCTTGTTTTTACTATTTTGTTGACATCGCTCTTTCGCATCCGAGTTTTACTTCGAAATATTGGATGGATGGCTGGCTGGCTGTCGTAGTGAAAACATTAAGGCCTGCTGCTAGTCAGCAAATTGTGCCGCCACATTCGTGGGGCAGAACGTGCGGCTTGTGTGATTGTTTTGGTTTTTTATTCTGCCTCTTCTTCTTCTTCGCTGTGAGGCCATTAACTAAGGGTGCCAAAGTTACAGGTCGTTGAGTTATTTTTATGTCAGGCCACAAAGGCAAAGGAGCATAATTGTTGTGAAGCGGCAGCCAAAAGGGGGGAACAGAATTCTTGGCTAAAAATATAATGTCTTGGAAGACATGAGAAATGTTCATCCCCTAACGTTGTGAAGTTACAATTCGTAAGAATTTGTTTTTTTTTCTGTTGCTATAATGTCTTAAGGATGTAGCTTCCTTTTTGGCGCCAATTTTATGTTTTCGTTTTTTTTTCTGTTACAAATCATTGTATTTACAACAACTCCATTGTCATTGCCAATTTAGCCTAAGGGTGGTTTTTACCCTCCAAATTGCCTGTCTGTCTGGCTGGCTGAATGGTTGTCCTTAACATCCATCCTTAGAAATCCTTTGCGGCAACAACGCACACAATGTTAGGTTTTTTTATGTTTTACTTCCTTATGGTAGTTGAAATTCAGGATGTTTTCAGATATGGGCGGAGTTTTAGAAGAATTTCCTTGATGATTTTTTCGTTGTGTGTGTCTTTTTCAAACACTCACAATTCCTATTTACTTTCTCTTTTTGGCCTTCCACATAAGGTATTGTGGCTGACTTGAATATTTCTCAGTCTTCTGGGAGAAGACCACAACAGAAATGGGAGGAGCCAAACAGAAGTATGTATGTTTTCATTTTTTATTATCTTTATGTTCATACATAGATATTGTTAAAGGTTTGTTATAGACCATGACCGTATTTCTTCCACATCACATCATGGTAAGTAAGTATTAGCTGTGGCCGCATGTTTTTCTGTATACCTGCTTTGGTTGAACGATGATTCATCATCAACTGGGTGGAGTTTTAGAAGTTGGTTGGTATTACTTTTTATCATGTGTTTCATTACATATATTTCGTTTTTTTTTTTTTTTATTTGTAAAACTTTGAGGTTTGTGATTTGTAGAATCGTAGCCAAGATGGCTTCCGTTCTGGAACAAATATTTCTATTCTAACGATGAGGGCGTCGTATTCATTCAGCCATTATAATGATTTATTAAAATTAATGTTTTTTTATTCATTCATTTGAAGATTATTTTGAGTCATGCTGGGAGTATACCAAAATTTATATAATTGGAAGGGGGTCTTTTTGTATTTTATTTTAGTAGATATTTTCTTCGGGAAGGTGAATAGGTTATAATTTAATAACAATAATATAAATAGGATAATTGTAAAAAAGTCTAATATATTTAAAACATAATTTTTTATGCAAAAAAAATTAAAAAAAAACTTTCCTCTAGAGAAATAAACCCGGAAAATATTTCTTTAAAAGTAAATATTTTACTTTTTATAATTAGCTGTTTATATAAATAATTTCTAATTTCTTAATATACAACAAATAAAAATTTGATTTCAACCACGGGAAGTATATGCTATCCCACCCCTTTAACAAAATGATTTTATTACATTTGGGCATACAAATATTTCATCGAATTGGTTAGGGAAAATTGAATCAAAAACTCTTAACGAAATACTTGATCAATTGGGGACGTCGAGAAAATTCTTAAAACGTTAAACCCGTACAAATTCTCTTTAAAAGCAAATATTGAAATATATTATGTAAATAAGCAAATATTCTGGCTTACATTGACTGTATATGTAGTAATTTTATTTTAAGATATTATCATTCGCTGTAATGTCGTATTTTTCGTATTTGGTAACAAATTATTTAAAATTTAATATTCGTACTAATAATTCTTTTTTAATTTTTTAACTGCTTTTTACCTTTTTTCTTCTTTCCACCATATGTACTCGAAATTGTGAGTGTTCTCGAAATTTTCAGTTTATACCCTAAAAAGTATGGAATCCTAAGACGATTTAGTCATCTCTTGTAATCATGCTACGTTCGTTAGTCTTTTTCCAAGTTATTCAGGAGTATCTTATTAGAAATTTCTAATGAAAATAAAATTATTTTAATAAATTTCTTATTCGGATGAGATTTGCAGAACGGAAAATTGAAATCTCAAAATTAGAAGTTTGTCAGTTTTGGCTGACTAATATTCTGGGCTTTCATTTTTATGAGGACTCCAAAATGTGAATCTAAATATTATGCATTTCGAAGCTACATTTTTTAAATATTAAAAAACAAGTTATATTAGTATTATTTGGGCTTGTGTCAAACCCCAGACAGATATAAACATTCTTATGTGAGTAGATTTGTGAGGTTTTTTTATACGAAACTGCCAGATTACAGCCTCAAAATACTAAAAAAGCATAGAGGCACAACTTAGGATCTACGATAAATATTTCATGGTGTTATGTGACAATTTATTATGTCCGCCATATTATGATGGGCGGTACGGTACACTAAATGCGTGTTGGGTAAAGGAGCAGCCATATTTAATTACGTTTATTTTTCAAAAGGCTAAAAATTTTAAAATATTGGAAACAACTGTGTAATTTTATGTGGACTTATTTTCAGCAATGATGAGTTTTACCTTTAATGATTACTGAATCCTTCAAATGCCGAACATGTGGTGGGGGCCTTATTGTTGCTGCTAAAAAAAACTTGTTCAATATTTTGAAAATTTTCTATTATTGAGCGCTACTTGTATATGGGTATATATCAAACATGGACCTATATCTAAACACTACGGAATGACAAATTACAGCACCTATACCAATATAATTATTGGTACATTTCATGTATACTACAGCTACTAATTTTTTCCGGAAAAAGTCCCGAATATAATATTTTGCCCGTTCTATCCTACATTATTACAGGTTAAATTCTTGTTATAATATAGAAAATTGTGAAATTTGACTTCTGTCTTTAATGTGACTCAAACTTTTATACCGAAATAATAATTGCAAAATCTAATACTATAAAATTGTGTTCGGAAATACTCCGGAATTATATATAGCCTTATCTTTGTGAAAATGTCTATTACAAAATGTTTTTTTTTCGTTTTTTTCAAATTCGAATCGATGGAATAGAGATAAGAAAATTGCATTGCTATATCTTAGAATATAGTTTGTGGTCAACTAGCTAACACACTTACTATATTAAAATTATAATTTAAATAAAAATATATGTGGTTATTGTTTTTCTTATAGAATATTTTATTGCGCAATAAATATAATTGATTCCTTCAATTTCTTTCGCTTATTTTTAATTATTTGAAAAATATTTAAATATATAGAATGTTAAATACCCTATGTTATCAAAAGAACCCTAACAAAATGCTTAAAATTCCACAAATTATTTAATAGAATCAAATAAATATTGCCGAATTGAGAAAGCACACAGCTTACGAATTTATTATAATAATTTTTTAATATTATTTATAAAAATCTACAATAGAATGCACCACAGTTATCGAAATATATATAAAATATATTTATTTAATGTTTTAAGTTATTTTGCTTTTTAGCTCATCATATGTGGGAATTTTCTATATTTGTATATGAAAAGAGAAAAATATATATTAATTTTGGACATTTTATATATTTCTTTGTCATTATACATTTTACGAACTGTCACATACACCGTATTATGACGTACCGCCACGCGTTTACTTTTTGTTCGATATGTGTGTGAAGATCACCACAGTCATTAAGATATGTTTTCTTTATAAACAAAACAACAACAACAACAACAACAGTGAAAGCCCCAATGAGAAGTGCTTTTTAAATTGACGTCAGAAATATATGTATCTCGTCAGACAGAAATCCCCGATGTTTTTTTTTATTATTGAAAATCCTAAGAAACATCCATATTATTCGCAAAAGAGTAAAATATGCAAAAATTATAATAATTATGTGTGTTGTATATTATTAACTTTGCCAGCTATTGTTTATTTATAAAATTAAACATGTCAAGCCACAAAATTGGTTAGCAACAATGTAAGCATCTGTGAAAAAAATAACTTATACATAAACAGGTCTATATATATCAAAAGCAAATAAATAAATGTTTCAACAATGTATACTTTATAGACTATCGTGGGAAAAATTAGTCATACACATTATATGCGGGTAAAATAGATTAAGCAATGTGGATAAATCAGATTCGGAAGGGTATGATATGACATGCCATATATTAATATAATACATAAAATAAATATTGGATTATTTTCATAAATTAAATAAAATAAATAATAAAAAAGAGCGAATGATTTAAAATTCTTAATTGATCTTAATTTGGG